TTAACATCTGTGTATATTAAAAGAGACAATACATAAAATGCAAATTTGCAATTTGGCAATAAAACATTTTATTTACCCGGAAAAAAAAAAGAGATAGTACATAGGTTGCTGAAAACCATATTTACAAGTGAGCAAAATAGAGAAGAAACTGTTCTGCGGTCCTAGCAAGATTCTAGAATTTCTAGGATCGATACAATATCTTCAGTGTAAACCTGCTTACACCAAAAACATGAAAGCAGAACACAATTTATTTTGATCTTCCTCACTGAGTTGCTGCTGTCTTCAACAGAGCTCTTTTAAGGAAATGGTTATAGAGATCACTTTAGATGACAATGATAGCAAACAAGTATAACATTCGAGAAAGGAGATGGAGTCCAGAAATTATAAAAGTCTTGTAGATGTGGATTATGGAAAAACACAAGGAAGGTATGGAGAAATTTATGGAGACATCAAGTTCACAATGGGAAGTAAACGATTAGAACCTGGAAGCACAGATGGTGTTGCAAAACACACTGAGTGATCCCCTTCCTAACAAAGAACAATGTCAATTGCTTAAGAAGGAGACAATGAGGAGAAACTTCTTTCAGACTTGAGGTTGAAGAGATCTTTAGGATTGAACGATGGAAGAGTTCCAAAACCTTATGGGGTTACTCTATAAGCATGATATCATGGAAATCTTCTTGGAGATGAAAGAGAAAGCAAAGTGAATCTTCTTGGCCAATCAATCACCGGCTATTAAAGAGAGAGGAAGTAGAATATCCATATCGATCGGTAAGATACCAAGTGCTTCGAGTAAAGTATGCATTTTTCGCTTGTCGACAGCAAGGAGGCTAATCTCACAGCAGAAAACTTGAACAAAGAGAAGATTACACAAGTCAGTTGCTGTTACGTATGTAAATATTTGGGAAACGGCAAGGGATACCATTGTTGCATTGCCAATTCGCAAGGCAGTTATGGTGGACACTGAATTTGTTCAAATTACAGTGATCAATGTCACCTATAGTTTAGATGTGATTTTCAGTTGCGCCATCAGACAAAGAAAAACAAGGTATAGAGCACAGGATGTAGCTCTCTTGGCACCTATGGATAGTTCAAATAGGAAGAACAAGACAGCTTTGAAAGGGTGTGAACATACTTCCATATAGATGAGGTCATGTTTTTTATGTTTTTTTACCTAATAAACTTTTAGTGCATCATGGTACAGATGATAGGGTGCTATTTATAAAGAACCATATTTTCAGATTTTCTATCTTTTGTATACAGGGAATTTTTCCCGCCACATCAAAGAAGTTATAAGTTTATCAAAAAGGAAAAAATTAAGAGTTAAATTAACCATTTACATAAGATACTGTCAAGTGAAAGTACACAAGACTTACTTGCTTAGCTTAGCCTTCATTGTCTGCAGCTTAAGAGCTGGGATTGAGTGCAGAACTTTGAGACCATGAGCAGTGCGTTTCTTTGAATGTGATTTTAGTTGCTGAGTTGACTTCCTGTTCAGATAGAATTTGTCATTGGCAATATTAAAACGCCCGGATAAACCACCGAGTCCATATAACTCGGCAGAATCACCATTACTGGGCTTTATTAAACCGGTTGTGATCATTGCTCCAGCATGATGCAGAAGCTGTTGCCCATCCCTGTTATCCAAAACTTCGAAAAGCATTTGTTCGTCTTGAAGATCATATATGAGCTTTGGCTTCGGAAAGGGTTGATCTGGTTCCCAAATAATGTTGTCCACCCAAGATTCCTCCATTATATCTCTGTTTTGTAATGTAAGCTTGCTAAATCGCCTTAAGGCATCGCTGCTAAGGCTTTCATCAGTGGCTCCATCTTTTACAGTATCTGTGCTCTTTTGCCTATCTGCATTCAAGCGAGACTCTAATCTCAAAAGCTGAGGGTGATATCTTCCTTCTGATAATGAAATATCCAGGTGTCCTGAAGGTTGTTTTGAACCAAAAGGCTCCACAGAAACACTGCAAGAAAAAAAGGAGCTGTGACCTTTCTCATGGGGTTCCATTTCTTTTTCTGACTGAAAACATTGAGACTCGGCCTCCACATCCGGTTGTTTATGAGTCAATGCTTCACAATCAGGTCCAGAAATCTCGCAACTTTCAGCAGTATTATCACTCACTGGAGGAGAATTATCCCAAATAATTCTATCCTCCCAGTCTTGCTGATCAAGAGGATAGAACTCCGGACAGATAGGTGAGCTCCAATCAGGAGAAAGATCCATTGATAGATTTTCTATCATTGGTTTAGCACTACACCAAGAATCCTTTTGCTCAACTTTTGGCTTCAAGTCATCAATCCCTTGAACTGTTCCTGGTTCATTATCCAGGAACGTTAAAGCACTATCTTGATGTACATGGGCCCTCCTCAACCAAGGAAAGTCTTGATAGGACCCTCTCAGTAATGTAACTTCATCTTCTTCAACAATATCCAGTGTGTCCATGGCCTTGTATTTGTCTGTTGATACAAAAACGTGCTATAGAAAGATTAATCCGTACTACTACTAAACAGAACTGAATAAAAAAATTCTTATAAGCAAAAGGTACCTTTGGGAACAGAGCATCGTCGCTCCCTCTTATCTGCTTTCTTCCGAGGTCGATGGAGGGCAAAAATTTCGGAGAACTTTAGAATTGCTATCCCATCTTCTACACAAAGAACAGGTAGAGGCAGAGAGCTTTGACCATCAACTGGCTCTTCCATAGTAAGAGGTTCTTCCTGCCAACCAGCATAGAGAAGCAGCACTGTTTAGAAAACAACAAATATTCTAAAGCAGACAACAAAATTAGGCAATTATAGTCCCAATAAGGGAAACTTATCTGCAATTGTTAGCTTATGCCAAGCATTAGTAGTAGTACAGAATAGAGGAGAACAATATTTCAAAGACTTCCAAGAACTCCATCTAAATAAACACAGATCTCCAGTGGAACAGATAGGCAGAACACTAAAATGATAGTGCTTTAATATTTGTCGAATTCCCAATAGAGTGATAAACTGTAAAGACAAGCAACATAAAAAGTAAAACTACAAGGGGTCGTTTGGTATGAAGTATAAGTAGATATAGTGCTGGTATAAAAATTTAATACCACCTTAATACTTTGTTTGGTTAGCAAACCTGGTATAAGTTATCCGGGATTAAAATTAGTACCGGGATCACTTATACCTCGTAGGGGGTGGGGTAATTAGTGCCGGGATAACTTATACCTTCTTTTTAGAAATTATGCAATGTCATTTTTAATACAACATACCAAACATTGGAAAAAAAACAATACCAGGATAACTAATCACAGCATAACTAATCCCAACATAACTAATCCTAGAATAACCCGTATTCAAACCAAACGACCCCTGATTGTTGTATATTACTAAGAGTGGTCCAACAGATGCAAGATCAGACAAAGTTGTTGAATGCAGTGGCAAAACATTATAGGATTTTAACTGACAAAAAAATCCGTATGTCCCAAGTACTTCAGCCACTATAAATACAATAATTTAAGGCATTTATAAAAAGTATTAAACTGCATCGTCTATCTTCAAGTACCACAAGAAATTATTGTCAAGCAAAAATATAAACTAGTCCAAAAGCTATTTCAGGAAAACATCAAGAAGCCTTTGAAAACATTGCTCGTAAATAGAAAGTGACACAAGGATATCAATTGTTTGATGATCTATTTCACAAGAAGGAAAGGATGAGAAGCTAGAAAGAAAGAGATGGCATGCACTTCAATGCTACAAGTCGGAATTAAAAGAACATAAAAAATAAGTAGGTTTTCTATTTAATTAGTAACGGATTGACCTCTTGAAGATCTTCACTAGATTCGGGAGCATCCGGGGATAGAACTTCTTCTGGAAGCTTCTTCCCATGAAAAATCACTTCAGCATCATTGTTGTACTCCCCTACAAAGACAAATAGGTCTAAGTGAAGATGCAAAGAGATTTTTTGGACATAATTGCTGGATTGGTCACTGAAAGTTAAGAAAACCACAATCCCACTAGAATTGTTTTGATGACGTGGAATCTCGTTGAAAAAGTTTGACAGTATCTTGTCAGAAACTTGATGCCGGAACAATGGCTAAAATAACATGAAAAGAGGTGGGCGTAGACGTGACAGTCACTACCAAAAAGGAGCAGTGCAACCAAAATTGTTACCTAGAAGATGTGCAGTGCCGCCAAAGCGGTCACCAAAAAAAAAAAAGCGATGCCAGTAAAACAGTCACCGAAAACGAGATGTGATACCACAAACCGAAAAAAGACCAAAACATTCACCAAATAGCCGCAATGTCGACAGGACTATAACCGGAAACTATTACCAGAAATAAAGAGATAACGCTAGAATGACCATTGAAAGAGGAAAGAAAAATTATGTAAGCAAAAATAAAGGTCGAGCAAGAGATACAGGGCAACCTACCACTAGTTGGACGCTACTTACACCTATACCAAAATCGTAACTAAGATATCATGCGGAAAAAAAAAAAGATTAACATATATGCAACAATAAACACAACATATTTAGCCAATCCGGAACTATATCTATCTTGAGAACTTTAACTTTTCTGATATTTTACCTAACTCAGTGTTATCAAAGGCGAAAAGCGCAAAAAAGCTCTAAGGTCTGTTGGGGGTTTAAGCGCATAGCGTGGGCTTTAATGAAGAAAGACGCAAATGGAGAAAAACTATAGATATGTATGTATAGTCCAAGACTAATATCTATAAGCATAAATACAAAATATACATACAAAAAAATTGAAGAAAATTTACGATAAAGTGAATTATCAATTGTTTAGTATTGCCTTTTCAGGATTACACTCATTGGCAAGGAAAAGTATGCCTTAGAGCCTTGATGACAACACTAAAGCGCCCGCTAAGCGACGCGAAGCGTTCAACATGTTTTGAGCCTCGCTTCAGGGCTTAAGCGCGCGTTTGATAACACTGACCTAACTTTTTTTATGAAATACTCCAACTCTTAACTTTCTGACACTAACACATAATAATCTAACACCTTTTTTCTTTTTTGATTACCGAGAAATTCCCGAGGGCCAGTGGAGCATGGTTTGAAACTCAATGGATAATGGGTCTGCTCGTGCTTTCTCCACTTAAATACCAAGCTTTTGTCCGCAGCAGGGTTCAAACTCGTGACTTGCGTCTAAAGCACACATCACATGTTGGGCTTTTATCACTAGATTTAGGCACTGAGGGCTAATCTAGCACTTATATCTCGAAACCAGAAGAAAATTAATTTTAAAAAAAAAAGACAACAAACTCAAGCAAAATAGAATATGATAAGTATGGAAGACTCGCTATTTCATTCTGTCCATAATACCCAGAGCTCCCTGCCTCTTCCCGCTGCACATGCAATCTGCTCATTCATAGCCCTGTCGCGGTGTTAAGGCATCTACTGCCCTCCTTTTCTTTATTGACATGCTCTCCCTC